ATTTTTTATGTTTGTATCTTTTATTTAAAGATCTTTTCTGATCTGGATAGCTCCAGGTGAAAGCACTGCAAGCTTTGTTACATCTTGATCAATATTTGTCCAAAAAATTAAAACACTGGATGATCCTAAGTTGCTAATAGTGCCATTTCTCCTCTTACACCTCCTGTTCCTGATGCAGCAACTTCAGAACTATCACCTTTCACTGGGAATTTCACCAATCTCATATAAAGCTACATGATAGCTTGTTTTCCTTCAGCATACTTCTCATTCTCTTTGACAAAACTGTTAATGCACATGTATTTAAAATGTAACGACCCAAATCAGTGGTGCCCAGGCTATGGCCTGCAGACCTAATTTGGTCTTCCAGGATGATTTATCTGGTCATGGCTTGCTCCTATCTTCCCCTAAATCCTTGCAACTCATCCTCTGTTAAACAGCAAAAAGTGCATTCCCTGCACGAGCAAAGTGTATGCACCTTCCTTCACGTGGATGTAAAGGAACATATGACAAGGAAGACTGCAATTAAGATGGAGGCACTTCTAGCGACAGCCTGCTGTGGCCACAGAATGGTTACTCCTGACATAAATTAGCCAATGTTGCAGTTCCCACCAAAGGACCTTCACATTAACGCTGACAGAATTGAACAGCACAGGCATTCAGAAGTACACTGGAGTTACGGTCCTTAATATCATCTTCTCAAAAAAGACCTGCTTCTCTCTCCCAAAGAGCAATTCAGAAACAACTACGGCAAGTTTTCAGGAGCTCGCAACTCAATTATTTTGGTTCCTGACTCGTGGTTTAATGTATCCTACTCTCCAGCTTCAGGACCCCTATTCAGTGTGGATCAGTCACATGGGCCAAAATGAGTTATGTCTTTCATTTCAGTAAGATGACTCACATGCTTAGCTGGGTGTGTTTGCATGCTAATATTCCTTGAAATAAAAAATGAGACAGAAGAAGTGGAGTTTCAAAACGCACAATAGCATTTCTCAGTTGCTCGTGTCAGATCAAGGAAATATCCTGGACCTACAACACAGGCCTGGAAAAAACACCCGCATGGCAAAAATTCTTCAATATCCACTATGATCTACGTCATTGTGAGAGCTTCTTTCTATAGAAACACCTTCTCTTGAAGCAGAACAGTCTCTGGCTGCTACCCTGTGTCTCTCCAATTTAAATTCATTTGCTGACAAATGCCAAAAAATATGAAGACAGGTAAGAAATCAGCTGAAATGACAGATGAGTTTAATGAGAATCTAAGTAACTCAGTCTGAGGAAGTATAGGAGCAGTTTTAGTTGATGTAATGTAATCATTTAAACCCATGTGTACTAAACCCGTAATTTTTATTCCTATTACTTCAAATAATTTCTGAAGCTAACCAGGCCAGCAGTGCTTTTTTTAAAGAACAGGTTAGACAACATTTGTTGGAAATTATTCACTAAATCAACTAACTTACTTGGGGGGAAAAAAAAAAGTGCTATCTTTTGGACCACGAAGTGTTTGTCCAGGAGTTGTGTGCTCAAGAGCTTGTCTGTTTTTCTAAGTGTAGTGATTGGTCTATTAAAAGATAACTGCTTTTCCTTACAGATCTTGCCTTGCTCATATCATCAGACCATTGCAACTGCATCATTCATAGTACGGGAATATCCTGATTCATTGACTAGCAAGTCTGAAAGGCAGACCATTTCGTCCAGCAGACGGCAAATTTCCAAGGGTGTGTGAGGTTGTTTTTTTTTCCCTTCAGATGGTAAGAGCATGCCGGGAAGACTTGCAGGAGCCAGCTGATGCTGCCTCTCAGCTCTGTAGCTGTATCTGCTCTGCGTGCGGGAGAGGCTCCCAGCTCTGCCGGAGTCCTGTTGAATTCCTGTGGTCTCGCTTGGATGTTTATCCAACGATGCTTCAGCTCCTGCTCCATGACCATGCTCTGTGTCACTCAAAATCTGATTGCGTGCTGTCTTTTCTTCCTGAGCTATTGCTCCAAGGATCTGTACAGTGCCAGGATTAGCTATTTTACGGCGGCCAGGTGATGGATGAGGTCAAGGACTTTCAGCCTGTACACTCCTAGGGACTGGAGAAGCATCTCCACTAACTAGTTAAAATATTTTTATAGGTTGGAGGGTAATGTCAGGACAGTCACTTAGATAGACCATTATGTTCCTCATACCCTTTCGTGGTCCCTTTTCAAGTATGTTTTCTGTGATTAGAAATACAGAACCCTGTATCTTTTAGGAGTGGCAGCAGGAGATTCATTCCAGCTCTGAGCACAAGGTTATGCACTTTAAATGCATAAATGTAGGGGCAGCTTAAAGCGTGTAACTCTGATAGACATTTCCACTCAGGCTTTTTCATATTCTATGAAAGCAACTGTACTGAACAAAAATATACATAAGCTGAATCCACATCAAAGACATACGTGCTCTTAGAATAAAACCAGAAATTAATATTTTGTCTTCTTGTTTTTCGACTGAACTTCCAGCCCTCCCCAGTTTTCTGAAATGACTTAACTGAATGTACAATTACGCCCATCATCCCTTGCAAGCTGTAATGCAGGGCTTTCTTGCCATTATTATTGTTATTCTGGATGTACGCCCTGCCTGCGTTTGCATTGTAAGTAAAGAGCACACACAAAATCAAATGCTCACATTCAGATACAGGTAACAGCAAGAAAGCAGATTATGCTGGAGATACTTATCTGCAACTTCCCTGTTGTAGAGCGTCTCCCAGGATTGTTTTATTCTGCTGTGGTGCTCAAAGACATCTGCCATTTTCTTAGGCTGATTTGTTGGATCGCCCAGGTTACATCGTTTCTAACAGTGTATTTTGCAAGTGAACATATTTGTGGTACATTCTTCAAGATACATTCTTCATTTTGAGATTTGGGGTTTTTTTTCCAGTCACCCTTTAACCTTCACAACTCCCACACAGATTATCATTTTATATATGCTTGCAAATTTCCCAGCAAAGGAATATAACTCCACTGGAGCACATTGTATGTTTAAGCATTGTAAAGAAAACAAAACTCTTTCTGCACTGTACGGCTTTTGTCATTAGTAATGCCAGAGCAACAGTGACCTACAAAGCTGTCGAGCCTCAGCGAGGCTCCTGAGAAGATATCCCTCTAAATTGAGCCCCTGCTGCTTATTCAGCCTGTTTCTTTCTTTATAGCAATGGCTCAAAATTCAAGCTCAAACCATCCAAAAGTGTGTCCAAGCCTTCAGGCATGTGAGCCAAACAGTCAGCCAGTCAAGCTGTCCTCATGTGGAGATGCCACAAGCACCACACAGCAGCCGCGGAGCTGAGGGGCCTTGGTTGTCGCCCCTTGGCTCAAACCCCCGGCCGCCGGCTGGGAGAGGTTTGTCTCACTTGTGAACAGGAGAAAACCGGAGTGTTTGTGAAACAAAGCCTTCGTGTAAGGGAGGCAGAGCAGCCAACGCGTCACGGGAGCCCCAGAGTAACCGTCTAGTCAGAGATGCCTCGACCACGTGCTCCTCCGACATAAAATAACCAGCTTTGCAGCACGATCTCTCCAAATCCCGCCGGTTAAGGCTCTGCCGTGAATGAGCGCTTCTGAGAAAGGGCCAAGAAAACGGCAGGGGCA